CAGCAATCAAGGGTCTGTTCCAGTCTACCCCTGGCTCTGTTCTGACTGATGATACTGAAGTTCTCCATCATCTGTTTCCACAGATGTAGTAGTTTGATTCCTGTGTAATTCGTCCTTTGAATTCCATGTATACATTGTTGTTGTTGTCATGTGCTGTTAAGTTGGTTGTGACTCATAGCGACACCCGATAGGGTTTCCAGGGAGTGAATGGTGGGACTGAACTGACAACCTTGTGGTTAGCAGTCCAGTGCATTATCTTACAACACCACACCAGGACTTTTATAAGCACTGGATGACTCAGCCTGAAAGTATTCGGCACTAGCTCCATGGGTCAACAAGCCTGGTTACCCAATTAAGTACATGGAGGCATCCCAGTCTGCAAGCAAGTCTCCTGCTCCAAGTCACTCAGCTTTCCTTGTCTGTGAGCTGGAAAGTCCACAACTCTGTCTGGTGCTCTGGCTCTTGGTTCTGCTGCCTCTCTGTGGCTTCCCTGGTGTCACAGCTTTATATCCCTGGGTTCAGGAGCCTCAATGCACAGAGATCAGTGGTGTAGTGGTATGTCCTATGGCATTTTATCAGCAGCCCTAAAAGAGTTTAACATTGGGCACAGAGAGTGCTCCCTGTGGGCAAAGCTGAGGAGAGGATTTTATGACAGCAACAACTGTGCCCTGAGCATTTTCTGATCCCCATAAATGTGATTATGCTGTCTGAGTTCTGTATGGCCAAGGCAATGAATTAAAAGCCAGATGAGAAGCAGAGTGCTACAGTGAGGGATGGTTTCGTCTCTCATCTACTTCTTTTGCATTATGTATTAATATGTGCTGCGAATAACCTAGGAATATATTAGATAGAGCATATAGGAGACAAAGTTAAGAAAACTGCTTAGACATAACCAAGCACCTTGAGGGAATGAGTTAATAGGCCTGGGGCTTAGAACCATAGTCTCGGAGACACTAAGGTCAATGGGCATACCATAGTTCACAAATACAATGTTCTACACCCTACTTTGGTAACAAACTTGTGAGATATACCTTAGATGGTCACTCAGGAGTCAACAATTGACCTCTCCCTTCAAAGAGGAAAGATGAATGATAACAAAGACATGTGGAAAATCCAATGAACCAAAGAATCACGTGAGAGCATCAGTCTCCACAACCTGGAGACCTGAAGATCTAGATGCTCCCTGGCAAACCAAGACCAACTGCTCTGAAAGGGCTCACATTAGAAGGCCCTGGGTAGAGTGGGAGAAAATGTGTAGCAAAACTCAAAATCATAAAAAGACCAGTCTTACTGCTCAGAGACGGGCGGAACCCCGAAGACTATGTTATGGCCCTCAGTCGTTCTTCAGATCTGGAACTTAACTCACCCTCTGGCTCAATTTTCAGCCTAACAATTTTTAAATCTATAAGGGAAACACTAAAGCTAGTCACGTACGCACACATCAGAATAAACCATTTGAGATCAAAAGGGCAGCATTTACCTGAAGATAAAGTTTAGAAAGATTAGGAAAGAAAAAGGAATGGAAACAGGGAAGAGAGCTAAGTGATGTCACAGTGAGAAGACTGCAACCAATGAGATGAAGAACAGTGCATGAATTGTTGAATGGAAAACTTCCATCGGCTCTGCAAACCCTCACTCAATTCATAAAAAAAGTTTAAAATAAGATAACAGGCCTAATATGGACCTAAAAGGCCCATATTCTACTGGCTTACATAATAAATTCAGATGCTTGTTTATGTCTTAACTCTCTGTGTTGGACTAGAATATGAAACACTTGCATATTCTGTCTTCCGCCCTTTCTCAAAGGCAATAAACCGTCAAAATTTATCTAAAACAAGTGAATAAGCAAAATTTAAGATTCTAGAGTGAGCTCTGGTAGCGTAGTGGTTACGAGTCGGGCTGCTAACCTCAAGGTCGGCAGTTCGAAACTACCAGCGGTTCTGCGGGAGAAAGATGAGACGTTCTGCTCCCATAAAGATTTACAGCCTCGGAAACCTTGTACAGGGTCGCTATGAGTCGGAACCGACTCCGCAGTACTTAACAACAACAACAATATGTAATATAAATAATCTTACCTCATTTATTTAGTTTTAGATTTTCATATTACTAAGACGAACACTGTCATCAATAAATGTTTAATATAATTTATAAGGTACTTTGGAAAGAGACTTAGCAGACCCAGAAACATTTGGTATCCTGGGTGAAGAAAATGCCATGTCAAAAAAATAAACTCAATAAACCTAATGCCACTGAACTGATTCCAACTCACAGCACAGTGTTTCTGAGACTGTAACGCTTTATGGGAGCAGATAGCTTTATTGTTCGCTCACGGAGTGCCTGGTAGGTTAGATAGAACTGCCAACATTGCGGTTAGCAGCCCAATGCCTAAACCAAAGTACCACACACTGATTAATTATATTAATAATTTAAAATACTTTAATTCAACTTTTCCAGTAAAATATTATTCCTCTCATTTCTGCTCTAACAGTGAAACCCAGCAATTACCATATTTGTGATACAGTCTCAAGAGTTAAGCAGTTAAGGATTTAGCCTAGAGACTGAAAATGTCTCAACCTATTTATTCCACAAAGCCTTCAGCAAGGAACCAGTCCGACAGGCACCTCAACTTTAACCCAGTGAAATAAATCACAAACGTAGTGTCAAACCAAACAAAGGTCTGTGTGCAAACTAGGATTCAGCAACAGAAGCCCTTAAGAACTTTTAAACAAGTAACCCTTCTTCACCCCAATGAGAGTTCAGAGAAGGTGCTATCAGACACCAGAGCATTTAATTATTCCTATTCAAAGGGAATTCAGTGCAGGTAGTTCCTACGGAGAAAAGGCCCTCTGTAGGATGACAGTATGTCCAGAACCTAGGCCTCCAACTAGTCAGAGCATTTTTAGTTCAACATACAGAGAAAAGAAAAAAGGAACCAAGACCTTCAAATACTAAAAGAGAAAGTTGGCTGCCAGTTTATTTCCCTACATAAGTCATACCAACTCCCTTACTGCTGAGTAGGTCCTGACTCCTAGAGGTCCCCTAAGACAGAGCAGAACTACACCCGAAGGGTTTCCAAGGCTATACATTTGAACAGAAACAGACTGCCATCTTTCTCCCACAGAGCCGCTGGTGGGTTTGAACCACTGACCTTTCAGTTAGCAGTTAAGTACTTAACTGCTATACCACCAAGGCCCTTTACAGAAGTGATAAACCTAAAAAACCAACCCCACTGTTAAGAAGTCAATTCCAACTCATAGCAATTTTCCATAGCGTTACCATGACTGTAAATCTTTATGGGATCAGACAACTTCAACTCTGTCCTATGGAGCACCTGGTGGGTTTAAACCACCAACCTTGCGATTATCAGTTCAACATCTAACCCACAGTGCTGCTTTTACACAAGGGATGTTGTTGTTGTTGTTGTTCTGTGACACTAAGTCAGGTCCGACTAATAAGCGGTCCTGAATAGGGTTTCCGAGAGTGGCTGGTGGGTCGGAACCACTGATCTTGCGGTTACCAGTCTAGTGCACATCCTACTTCATCACACAGAAGGCTTAAGATCCAAAGTATCTAGTTCTCAGATCATTTTGAAAGTTTCATAAAGACATCCCAATCCCACCATTACAGATAACACTAGTTAAGATGATCCAGTAACTAAGGCAGAGGTCAAACATACACCACACACACACAAAGCCTTGATGATAATGAGAACAGCAGTCTAGATCCTGCCAGGAGTAAGCAGGTCTTCTTCACTCCTCTCTGATCACATCTACCAGAACACCTCTTCCCATTCCTTGACAACCACCTTCCTATATTCCAGGATATTCAAAGGCTCTTTCCTCCTTTTTCCTCCTTCCACGGGCTATGTTTCACCTTCATTTTATTTCTAATTAACTTACCCTTCTGTCATCTGACACCTTTTCTATCCAAATTCCCTGATCTCCCCACCCTTCCTGACTCTCCCTCCTTCATTTGCTTGCACATTTGGGATTCTAACTACATTGAGGCTAAGGTTGATACACATTTCAGTTGATTAAAGAGATGTTTGGCTAAAACGGAAAAAAATGAATAATTTTGTGTGAAACTCTAATTTTCCTAATTTGCACAGCACATGATAATATCCTAGAAATGCTTCCCCTCATTCATGTGAGTCAAAGGAGGTTGATTATTATATATAAGCTTAGTCAAGTAAAAACTAGTTGATAAAGGATTGAGTATATGGCAACATATAAGACCGGCACGTAAATCATCATTTCCCAACATTGAGTTCTTAAGGCAGTAGAGTCCCACAAGCTGCTTCAGAAGAGAGAATAGTTCCAGGAACAAGTCACACAGCTCACCAGCCTCTTAAAAGAGTCAAAGAAATTCTGAGATTAAAAAAAGAACCTTGCGTGACTATATTTTCAGCTTCTCCTAAACTTATTAAGCTTATAAAACTCTTTATTCCCACCACACCTTTCATTATCACACAACACGCATTTTGGAAATTTTAATCTAACCATAACTTCAAATAAACCAAATAAAACACTAATCTTAAAACCCTAGTTATAAAATGTTGCTGTCTTTTAAAGAAAACAAAAATAAATTCAGACAAAACTTTTTAAATGCTAGGCAGAATTGGCTCATTTTAAATATTATCTGTATATGCAACTTAAATAAGTTCTTTAAAAATTATGGCTGCAGTTACCACTTACAACTTGGAATGAGAGGACTTCAAGCAAAATTTCCCTTAAAGTCAAATGTATCGTATAGAAAAGAACATTTTACAAATATCAAAGTCTAAAGCTATTTTCACATTTCTTCCTTCATTAATTTTCATGTTTGATCTTTTTTTCACAAAGGAGAAAAGAATGAAATTGTAAGCATACACAGGCATGTTATATATAGACCTTTTTATATAAAATTTTTAAAAATAAAATTTCCCTCCAAGGCATACTAGCAATTATTTACTTTTACTTCACAGGTTTTAAAGAGCATATTTTAAAGTACACACATTTTACCTGAAAGCTCCATAAAGTGGTCTGTACCAACAGACAAATGAACAAGGAGTAAAAAGCAAGAACCACAGGATACTCAATCCAAAATCAACCCCTCTTGTAGGGTTAACACAAAACCAAGCCAAGCATCCGAAGATATTTAGAAACAGTGTTACAGCGTGGACTGTGGAATCAAAACACAAAATAGAAATGTTTACAGTCAATTTATGAGCTCATTCATTAAAAACCATAAAAAATAATGTACTAGTATCAAGTGTACTCTACTCCATGTTTCCATTTAAAATTTTAAAAAACAGTATTTCCTACATATGTGCTTTGTGTAAAGCCAACACACATGGGAAAAGGAGTCCCACACTACACGCTGTATTTAGCGACAGTCCTTCTGGCCAAGTACTCTCCTGAACCAGAGAAGCACCGACTGAAGGTCGTCTTCCTGAAGAGGCACGTTGGGCCTTGATGCAAGGCCCAGCCAAGAGAAGAACTGGGGCTTGAGGGGGAAAAGATCCTACACTCAGAACTACACTCTTACAGTGGGCTGCAAATTCCTCCCAAACCAGACTGCAGACAGGAGAAAAACTGGAGAAGTGGCCTGTGAAATATCATTATAACAGCGATGTTAGTTAGGGCATTTGGACTGAAAACACTAATATAAGCAAGCTCCAGTGGCTTGCTAATATTCGTGTTTCTACGGCAAATGCTTTAAAATAAATTAAAAAAAAAAAAAAAGCCAAAAACTCAGCTTATTTAAAAAAATACAAAAGGCACACAAGTTGGAGCAGATCTTTCTTTGGGGCAACACAAATAAATCAGTGACCTCTGTTAATAACTACCTTCCCAGACAGAACAAGAATGGCATTTACTCATTATAATTAATAACATCTTTACGTTTTCTCTTAATGGACTCACAGACCGAATTATTGTATGAAATAAAGTCTTTTGAAAGCAAAAAGAATGTTTAATGTGTATTATCCATATTTAAGAATACATCAACTATTTGGTGAAACGAAAATAACAAATAGAAAACCTATCAAATCTAAAGAAAAAAAAATGTCAGCAAGTATTAAAACACAAACTTTAAAATCTCATTTTGATTATGAATCAAAGGAGAAAAGTGAAAGTAACTGAGTTATTGTTTTATACAAACTAAGTCAATCCCTTAACCTATGTAAGCTTCAATTGTTCAGTTATAAAAATTCAAGAGTGCTTCTAGCTTTAAAATTCCATTGCATTCTGCCACACAAGAGACTCTTACTAATGACTTTACTCCCATAAGGCTTTTTAATACTCATGAAAAACACTTTATTATAAATTTACTCAAAATCCTTTGTCTCAGAATAAAGGTAAGGGGCTTAAAAACAAAATTCAAAAGACAGTGAAACAGCAAATTAAATTCTCTACTATTAAAAGGCATTCAGCTTCCTAAAAATTTGTTTTAATGTTTAGAACATTCTAACTCAAATTTCACGTTTTAGAGAAATCATTTTTAAAGATCCATCCTGTAATCCAATTAAGAGAAACAGACTATATGGGTATGTGTGTGTATTTTAAAGTTCACAAAAATTCTTCCAAGTACAAATAAAAAAATCCATTTAATTTTGTGTAATCTATTAAGAATTTTTCTAAATGTTTCCATAGTAATTACCAAGCACAATCAATAAAACATTTGCTCACTAATGAATGTCTAGGCCTGTTTACTGCACAATCTGTCCACCTATACACAGATTAAAATATAAAGAAAAAATTCTAGTAAGAAAAGCATGATTCTGTGTTGCTAATTTCAACCTCTTCAAATGAGCAATGAATGATGCTGGTGGATTCTAAGGGAGGGTGGAAATCTTAAAAGGCCATTTAGTTTACAGCATGTTCAAGTTAATTTGCTTATAGTATTCAAATTAGGTAATCGTGAAGCTAAATTTGTAACTATTATTATAATATTCTTCTTAATGGACTCTGCATAACAATATAGATGCCTAGCCTCAGAAGGGTCTATAACGGGTCACCTATAAAAGGTCACCATGAGTCTGAAACCAACTGACTGCACACAACCAACACCACCAACAAAGCTTTATAAAGTATATCATCTTCAGTAAATGTTCTTTAATGGACCCAACTTGCTTTCTTTTTGTTCAAATTCCAAAGTATACTCAGAGAGGGTTGAATTGATTTCATAGTGATGTTTCTGACTGTGCTAGTTATTGCTATTGATGTTAAGTGCTGTCAAGTCCGTGCCAACTCAGAGCAAGCCTGTATATAGCATTTATGAGGAGTAACCGGTGCGTTTGAACCAGAGACCTTGCAGCTAGCAGTCCAGTGTTTGTCCTTCAGCGCCACACCAGGATCTGTTATTTTTATCATTTAGAATGTTTTTGAAAGCATATCTTCATTACATTTAGATTTAAAATGTAAAGTTACTCTTCATTTTAGTACTTCGTAGGTGGTAAATCAAGACTTGTCTAATTGAGGGCAAGTTACTGAAATTCTCTAAGCTTTAGTTTCCATAAGCTTTGAGGGCAGATGCTTCACAGTGTGGTTAGGTTGTACTAAGACAAAGCGTATATAAAATGATTAGCACTATGTCCTGCACAAAATAATTTCTCCACTAAGGTTGCTATCCTCTGTAATAACACACAAAGTAACAATAAATTGACACTTAAAACCTTGAAAACAACTGTTTGCTTAGCATATACTCTATGAAATGGAGCTGGTACTACATCTCACTCTGCTGCACTTCAGTATTTAATTTTGTTTTGAGCCCTTTCTGAAAGAAGAACTGTCAATTGAACACATAACAGGAGACCGTAAGAGTTATATTTCTAAGACAAACTAAAATCTACTTTGAAATAATCAGCAATGGAAAAGTTAACAACTGATCACTGACGTTAATCTAGTTCACCATTCAGCCACTATTTACTAATAAATTAATTATATAATTGTCTTTTAACCTCCATCCTTCCCACAATAAAAGAGAACTTTTTCACTAAGTCAAAGAACTTACAACTAAAATGCTAGGCCAATTTCTGTCCATTAAAAAATATACACACAGACCCTCAATTGTGTTTTATTCATATGCATGAGTTCATGAGCAGGTACAAACGGAATCATAACCTTACATATTATGAAGATATACTACTACTGACAATAAAGAACTCAGCAAAAGATCAAGAAAAAATTTCAAAAAGAATCTGAGAGCAAAAGTTTAAAATAAGCCATCTACAAGGAATCACTACTCATATTCTAAATGCTACTAATGATTTTGAGGAAAATTTTCATCTACTTAAGAAACTCAATAAAGACTCCCTAAGAGGCCTGGTGTGGCGCTGTAGGCTAACACAGCAGACTGCAAAGTCGTTTGAACTGCAAGGTCGGTGGTTCAAGCTCACCAGCTGCTCCTTGGAAACCCTATACAGGGTCACTGTGGGTCGGAATCGACTCCATGGCACTTAACAACAACAGGATCAGCGCTGGACTACAAACTACAAGGTCGACATTTCAAACCCACCAGCTACTCCTTAGAAATCCTATACAGGGTCGCTATGAGCCGATGTCAACTCAATAGCACTTAACAACAACAAATCATAAAGTACAAATGTCCTCTATCAAGAATGTAGCCCATAAATTAATCAACTAAAGCAGCTGCTGTGCCCGGGAGAAGTCATGAAGAGTTTACTCCTGCTGACACATGGTAGTAAATGGAACTGACGCCACATCTGGAAGAAAATGAAACAGTGTAGATGGGGATTCTGTGTGCATATATAAAAATTTGCAACAGCTGTTTTTTTCATTTTTATACTCCATGAGTATGTTATAATTATGCTCAAAGCAATGAGAGCCTCAAAATATAAAACCTATGTTCTAAAGAGCTATTCAATGAAATGCCTTATATCAATCAGATACTTCCAATAATAAAAGTATTTACCATCAATTGAAAATGAAAAATAAATTGTGCTAAAAGCTATTTAAAATATATTTATAGTTTATAATTTATTCCCCTTTAAAAAACAACTATAATGTTTATATACAAAATTTTAAATATCCTTTCTTAGCATAAAAATAGCATGCAAAGTTATTCTCAAAGTAAATATGACCTACTTAACCTTTTTCAAGGAAAAAGAATCCTTACAAAATTTGATCCATATGACAGAGAAGTCAAGTTATCTTTTCTTCAAAAGAATGCCAATTCTCAATAAACAAATTTTCCTCTGCTAAGGACCAGTATTCTCATATATAGCACAATTCTGAAGTATCTAAATATGTTTAACTTTGAAAACTGTGAATATTTTCCTACAGAAAGTAAAGAATACCGATGTACTATATTATCATCAATATGAGTTAAGAACAGGGCAGATCTTGATAAGATAATGTATAAGCAAATAACTTATTTTATACTCACACATCCACAAGTAGTACATAATCTTTACTGTCTTTTGGAATTCTACAGGAATGTCTACAGAAAAATCCTGATAGAAACAAGGTCCCACAGGAAAATTGCCAGGAAGAGGTGGCCAATTATTTTTTCTGCCTATACAGAAAAACAAAAAAAAAGTTATTTACATTAGAACAAATACGTGCTAATCTTATTTTTAGTTTCATAATAAGCATCTCTTTAATAGATTTATAAAACATTATTATGAAAGTCGGGAGTCCTGGTGTGGTGCCGTGAGCTAATGTGTCAGACTGTAAAGTCGTTGAACTGCAAGGTTGGTGGTTCAAGCTCACTAGTTGCTCCTTGGAAACCCTACACAGTGTCGCTATGGGTCGGAATCGACATGGTGGCACTTAACAACAGTAACAATTATGAAAGTCACGCTTTATAGTTTAAAATTTTTCCAACTAGAGGATAAAATTATTTTGCAGTGTCATATCATGCAATATTTAATATAAACAATCTATACACAGGGGGTGGGGGTTTACAGGAATAGACTTTGTTACTCTATTCTGAAAAGCAGGTTAACAACAAACTCCCAAGATTCTGATTCACAAGCGACCACTACTCAGTTTTAAAACCCTATACTTTCCTTCTCAGTGTTTTGAATCTTGAAGTATAATTTTGCTCTCTTCATAACTCATGTGGGAAGAGATGACTACCCTCTGACTCAACTTTTCAACTGCGAACTCCATAAAGAAACACAAGAGTAAACCAACATCAAAGAATTAATCTTGGAAATCTCAAAATCTGGAAAACAGCAATAATATTCAAAAACACATGTAAGAAAAGCATGAAACTCTTAGAAAATATTAAACAGTCATCAGAAGGAAGTTAAGGGATTATATTATAGCACCATCAAAAATTTGTAGGAAAGACACCAGAAGAACTAGACGGTGCCTGGCTACTATTATCAACTGCTTGAAAAGGGATCTTGTTAGAGGTCCCATACAGAATGGGAAACAATGTGCAAAAATAAAAAAGACCAGGTTTACTTCTCAGAAAGTGACTGAAGGAATCTGAGACTCTAGCCCTTGACCACACTTTAGGTTTGAAAAGGAGCTCACTCGAGGCCCAATTTTCCCAAGCAGTAGGTGTGTTTAACAATGGGGAACACCAACACTAAGTTCACCATAAAAAGTCCAAGCATTCAAAATCAAAAGGGTAACATTTTCCTAAGGGTAAAGTTGAGAAAAGATAGGAAGGAGGGTGGAATGGAAAACTAGGAGGAAGTACCAGAGCTGTTGTTGCACGGAGGGAAACGGAATCACTGAGATGAAACAAAGTGTGTGATTTGTTGACTGTGAAGCAGATGATCTGATCTGTAAACCTTCACACAATTTACAATAAAAAGTTAAAAAAAAAAAAAAACCAAAACATCCCATAGCTAAAAAACTATCTAAATGAAATAATGTGACTGAAAAAGGAGGCTTGGTAAGTGGGGGAAATGAACATTTTAAATTAAAGAAAGAAAACAAAACATAAAAAGAAGGCAAAAACAGCATCTAAAGGTCATTCTTAAATTTTAGATGTTTTACTAAAACTATTTTTTAAATTCAATTTTACACATCTTTTACAGACCAGGAAAACTTGGTACACAATAGAAAAAAGCATGACTTAGTTCATATGTTCCCTCAGCATGTCTCTGCTGCTACCCATACATATCATGCTATTCAAATTTCATATAGTTAACACATTTCTTGGGAGCACAGGGACTCCATTAGCTAAGCACTGGACTGCGAACTACAGGAGCAGTATTTCAAGCCCACCAGCTGCTTCACTGGAGAATGATGACACTTTCTGCTCGAACAAAAGAGTTGAAGACTCAGAAACTCTATACAGGATCACTATGAGTCAAAACCAACTCCCAGGCACATAACGCACATTTTTTCACTCTCAATTCCCTCTAGTGTGGTGCTGTAGGACCAGCACTGGACTGCGAACCACAGGGTCAACCGTTCAAACCCAAGAGCTGCTCCTCAGAAACCCAGAGTTGTTATACATCGGAACCAACTCGACGGCACATAACAACAGCGCACATTTAATGTGAGGGACAGCAGAACACAGTAGTTAAGAACAGAGGCTCCAGAAACATAAGCACCTAGGCACTTGAAGTCGTTAAGCACCATCAACTCACTTCTGGCCCATAGCGACCCTGTATAAGGTTTCCAAAGAGCACCTGGTGAGCTTGAACCGCCACTTTAGAAGATCAAACCAAAAACTAGGTGGCCCTGGGCAGCTTAACCTCTTGGAATCTTGTATCTCCATGTTAAAATGGAAGTAATACTTATGCCGATTTTCACAGGATTATATTGAGGATTAAATGAGTTAACAGGTAACAAATATTTAAATACATTAACACACTTAAGAGATGAACTCTCTTAAATTTCCTACTACTTAGTACTTACTAAGAGTCCGGGTGTGGCACTGTGGGTTAATGCGCTAGACTGTAAAGCCGTTTGAACTGCAAGGTCAGTGGTTCAAGCTCACCAGCTGCTCCTTGGAAACCCTATACAGGGTCGCTATGGATTGGAATGTACTCGACGGCACTTAACAACAACAACAACATTATTTATGAAAACACTATCATATTTACTAAAACAATATATTATAGGGATTTTTAAGCCCCTGTAAAAGGCTGACAGTTCAAGTTCACGAGCCACCCCTCAGAAACCCTATGAGTTGGAACCAACTTAACAGCACTTAACAACAACTTCTTCCTGTACTTTAATCTTAGTTAAAGGCTAAGGCAACAGGACAGATGTTGGTCATAGGTATTTCAAAACCACTGATCGAATTAAGCCTTTTATAGTTTCCTATAGAAGTTTCCCTTCTATAGATGGTGTCTCTGGTGTTGCAAGCAAGAAAATGGCCCAGGATAAAAGTGTCCCCATGAGGCCATAGATTTCTTCTACGGAAGAACTGGTTCTGTATATAATTGTGGTCTTCACGTTGTCATTCCACCATTATCCTAGACATCCAATAATGACTTGCCTAGTCCTATTCTCTCTTCTAATCTGAGAATGCTAGTCTTCTGGAAAATAAGGCCTTGAAGAAATCTTTGGTATATCAGAGCCGAAATTGATAATCTGCTATGAAATTGGTTTCATAGCAGATTATCAATTTAGCACTTCTTTTTGTTGCTGTTGTTGTTGTTAAGTGCCATCAAGTCTGTTCTGACTCCTAGAAACCCTGTTGGGTTTCCACAAGTGCCTGGTGGATTTCAGCCACTGACCTTACCGTTAGCAGCCCAGTACCTACCCTACAGCACCAAACCTGGACTCCACTGCTTATTTCTGTGACATCATTTAAATACACTTGGTTTCCTACAGTTACCACATGAGCCAAGAGCTAGTATATACTTGTGGAGAGGGAACAGGTATCTTGAAATTGATCTAAATAACCCAGAACATACGAATTAAATGTAGGGCACGCTCCCATATATTCAGAGAGCTACAACAGACCCAAAGAGTGTCCAAGTGCAAAATCAATGACTCCTGTGGCCTTGGAATAATCCAGAATTACCACATTCACATTCACTTTCAGTGTGCTGAGGATAACACTGTTCTAATGCATCAAAAAACAACCCAACCAAGTCAGCTACGTTCAGAGCTCGACAGAATACCAAGCAGGCAATCTGCTATGTCTGATCTCCTTGCTAGAACAGGAAATCAGGGCAGGGTTTCATCCATCAACCAAATGACCCACATCTAGTGCAGATCTAATTTAAAATGCTTAAAAATTAAGTTTATTTCAAGATTCTTTGCATACTACCATGTTGACTGAGGTTTTGCATTTCTCGTTCTCGACGATCTAATTCTGCTGCTTTTCTTTCTAGTTCTTCCTGGCGCTTAAGAAGTTCTGCTTGGGCCAAGGCATGTTCCTAAGAAGAAGAAAAAATTATATATATATATATATAGACACAAGGAGCTCTGGTGGCGTAGTGGTTACGAATCGGGCTGCGAACCTTAAGGTCAGCGGTTCGAAACTACCAGCTGCTCCGCGGGAGAAAGATGAGGCTTTCTACTCCCGTAAAGATTTACACCCTCGAAAACCCTATACAGGGTCACTATGGGTCGGAACCGACTCGATGGCACATAACAACAACAACAACATATAGACACACACACATATTTCAATAAATGTGTATCACCATCAAAACTCATAGAAGCAGCAGTCAAGAAATCAAATGACATATTTGGACTACGCAAATCTGCTGCACATGACCTTTTTAAAGGGTTGAAGAGCAAAGATGTCAGCTTGAGGACTACGTATGCCTGACCCAAGTCATGATATTTTCAGTAACCTCATATGCATGCAAAAGCTGGACAGTGAATAAGGAAGACCATAGAAGAATTGATGCTTTTGATTTATGGTGTTGGAGGGGAATATTGAAAGTGCCATGGGCTACCAAAATAATAAACAGTTCTGTGTTGGAAGAAGTGCAGCCAGAGTGCTCCTTGGAGGCCAAGATGGCCAGACTTCGCCTCTTATACTTCAGACATATTGTCAGTAGGGACCAGTCGCCGGAGAAAGCTATCATGTTTGGTAAGGTGGAGGGTCAGAGAAAAAGAGGAAGACCCCCAGCGAGATGGACTGGCCAAATGGCAACATCAATGGACTCAAGCATGGCAACAGTAGTGAGGTTGGCCCAGGATCAGGCAGTGTTTCGTTCTGTTGTGTACATGGTCACTATGAGTTGGTACCAACTTGATGGCACCAAACAAGTGTATATCAAGTATAAAATACAAAAAGAGATATAAAATATCTTCTACTTCTCTCTCTTATGCTAGTTTAAATGCTTCTCTAAAATATGTTGTCAAGTGATGTCGAGTCGATTCCAACCCATAGCAACCCTGTATAGGGTTTCCAAGGAGGAGCTGGTGAGTTTGAACCACCAACCTTGCAGTTCAAATGGCTTTGTGGTCTGGCGCATTAACCCACAGCGCCATACCAAACTAAAATTTCAGAAAATATTATGGGGATAGTTGCCCAACTTTACCTATGAAAACTCTCAATACACAGGTCCAATAGGACATGAAAGACTTCTCTCAGTAAGCGTAGTTAAAGTCAAAAAAAAAAAAAAAAAAACGTAGCTAGAGTCACAAGTTAACTGGGAAAACAAAATTAAAGTGATCTCTGTGACTAAGTAAACATGAAGACTAGTGGCAAGGGACTTGTCAACCGAATTAAATGGAATATAAGTTACCCAGTGCAATAGCATTATATGATGATACGTTACATATTATAAGGTGGGATCAAAGATAAATATGGTAAAAGAAATCCTGGTTTATAACTCCAGGTGTCCTTATGTGAAAAGCCAGGCATTCTATTCATCTCATTTCTCCATGTACTTGGCTACTTTCTCATACCTCCTATCACTATCTTAGCCATTCATTATAACACTCTCCCAAAATGTATTATTCTGAATTCTGCTACTGAATTCCACCACTTGTCTGTCAGTTTGTCGTACTGTGGTGGCTTGTGAGTTGCTGTGATTCTGAAAGCTATGCCACTGGTATTTTAGATACCAGTAGGGTCACCTATGGTGGACAGGTTTCAGATGAGCTTCCAGACGAAGACAGACGAGAAAGAAGGAGTGATGAACTACTTTCAAATATTTAGTCACTGAAAACCTTATGAATAGCAGAGAAACACTGTCAGAAATAGTGCCGGAAAATGAGCCCCTCAGGTTGGAAGGCACTCAAAATG